CCGGCGCTGATATTGTTGTAAGGCTGCCCGTAGTGGCTCAGGGAATGAAACTGGAGGTGCAGGTGCTGGCTGAACTGATGGTGCAGGTGGTGGCTGAACTGATGGAGGCACCACAGAAACAGGAAGAGGAACAGATTGTGAGTTCTCCTCCTCAAAACCCTCCCCCTAAGGAGAACCATTCGAGAAGAAGAATGTGGATTAAAAAAAGGTAACATCCATAGTGTAAAATCTGCTCCTCGACACTGGGTCATAACAGCAATACCCCTTTTGGTTATGAGCATACCCAAGAAAAACACATTTGTTGGGCTTAGGATCCAATTTCTTGCGATGAGGGCCAAGAATGTGAACAAAATAAACACAACCAAAAACCCTCAGAGGTATATGAAATATCTCTCCATCTGGAAAAATGAGGCTAAATGGCATCTTAAACCCCAAAGTCCGTGAAGGAACACGGTTAATCACATGTACGGCTGTAAGAACTGCATCTCCCCAGAATTGCACAGGAACTGAAGTACACACCATAAGACTCCTTGCCACCTCCACAATGTGTGTTTTTCCTCTCAGCAACTTCATTCTGTTGCGGTGTATATGCACAACTGCTCTGATGAACTACACCACGTTCTAAGAGATACGTGGTTAGGTCCTTCTCAAAGTACCCTCTAGCATTATCTGATCTAAAAGCCTTAGTTCTCACTCCAAATTATGTGAGAACCATCTGGTGGAATTGTCGTACTAAGTTAGGAACCTCATTACGTGATCTCATCAAATATATCCAAGAATATCGTGTATAATCATCCACAAACAAGAGAAAGTAACGGAATTCTCCTATGGAAGGGATTTGATATGGCCCCCATACATCAGTGTGAACAATATTAAAAGCAGTACTTCTTTTATTACTTGGTTTAAAAGATTGTCTACAATGCTTTCCTAAGTGACAACTCTCACACTCCAAAGTAGATAATTGAACAGACTCAAACAACTTTGGGAAAAGACATTTCAAAGAACTAAAAGAAAGATGTCCCAAGCGATTGTGCCAAAGCATAATCTGGTTYAYYGACTCYRACYCACTACTRCTGCTGCTGCTAACATGATGGCCCTGATGTCTCGGAATCTCATCCAGAAGGTAGACTCCATTCACCTCACGATCACTCCCAATCATCTTCTTTGGCTCCAGATCCTGCAAAACACAATTACCAGGAAGAAAGGTCATAGAACAATTCTAATTTTTTGTCAATGAACTAACAGACAATAGGTTGGTATGAAGTCTAGGGACATGTAAAACAGAGGACAGAGTTATATCATCATTGGTCACTCTAACTGTCCCCTTCCCAGCAATGGGCATATGTGAACCATCTGCTATAGAGACTCTGTCTCTACCAGCACAACTGATAGGAACTGAAAATGGTAGGGGCATTAGTCATATGCTCAGATGCTCCTGAGTCTATAATCCATGGAGGTCCCTCCTTACCTAAAGTGGATGCAAGATTCACAGTTGCATATGAACTACCTGCATGTGCAAAGGAAGTGGTGTAGTTGGCTCCTGCATTCTGTTATCCATCTAGAAGGCTAGAGCTGGGTGAATCTTTCTTACTCATAAGCTGTCCAAACCTCTACAATTCTGTTCTCACTGCTACTATTGCAATGGATTCCCAATCAGTTTGGGAGAGAGGGGCTGAAGAGTCTCCTGTAGTGGCTACATTTGCATTTCCCTTCTTGTTTCTTATCCGAGCAGGCATAAGATTTGGATGAAGCTTCCAACAAGTGTCCCTGATATGCTTAGGCTTCTTGCAATAATCACACACCAAGTCCTTCTTATCTTCCCTTCTAGTCTCACTACTCCCCCTGTCTCCATTCGACTTAGGTTTTGTTGTACTAACCATAGCCAATTGGTCAATCCCAGGCTGTCTCAGCATTACATTCCTCCTACTCTCCTCTCTAGAGACGAAAGGATAGGCCTGAGAGAGTGCCACACCCTCCCTAAAAAGAATATGCTGCCTAGCAATGCCAAATTCAGGGTTCAGCCCTGCCAAGAACTCAAAAACCCTATTCCTCTCTACCAGTTTGTGATAAGCTGTTGCATCATTTACACTTTATCATACCACAATTTCTAAGTGATTTATTTCCTGCCATAGGGTTTTCAGCATGGAGAAATACACAGCAAGAGGTTTTTCTCCCTGTTTCATACTTATCACCTGATTTCTTAAATGATGGGCTCTAGCTTCATTTTGCTTCTGAGAGTAGGTTTCAGT